GTATTGTATTGTATTGTATTGTATTGTATTGTATTGTATTATATTATATTATATTATATTATATTATATTTTATTTTATTTTATTTTATTTTATAATTATTATATCGCTACCTTTCTTTGCATAACACTGGATAAAGTTGTCTCGAATGATGACCCAGTTATAGGACCATTTAGCTGTCATCGTTGCCTCGGTAGCCACGTACAGGTAACCTGTTATAATTATACCAATTTAAATTGATAATATGTTACAAAACATATAGTCTAGATATCATTTAGGAAAATGGCAGCCGTAAGCAAGATTAATGCGATGAGCATGTACTCTGCTAGCCATTGATTAGTGAAATACCGGCAATGATAAAGTTCCCGCCGATTTCGATGGTGGATGTGCGCACTGACTTCTTCTTCTTTCCGAAACCCAATTTTGACGCCAACTGCTTGACCGCCGCGTGAGACGGGGACTCTAAAAAAATAGTTCGTTCCCAAGATCAGCTCTGATGATAAATAAAGCTGCATTTATAAGCCAACTGACAAAATAATAGACTTTTTAGAAATTAAATAGAGAGCTCATATTTTCAAACATAATCGCGGATATTGGTCCACCCGTACCTTGCGACGCATTTTGGGGCACTTGTTGCTCTGTCACCGGAACTTGAAGCGTAGTGGCCGCCGAAATGAGCTGTAAATGTGACATTTTCGAATAAACGAGAAGATTTACAGACCTTTTTTGCATTGCATTCACCATTACCACACTACTCCGCGCTGAAGTTGCATGCGTTTACCGTCTGGACAAAAATAACTATATGTTTACATTTATACATATACACATGTATTACGTTGCGATACACACCGATAGTATAATAAGTATAGGCTGCTGCAACACGCACCTCTAGCCACCTGCTTTGCACGACGATGTCATCAGCGCTGAAGAAATGCGTCGGTTTTCCCGGATGAGACAAGCGGATGCATGGTTTCATCTGATCACCCGGTACGTCATTGATCAGCAACACAACAGCCTCGTATCCTGTTGTAAAATAGACAAATATATATACATATATATATATATATAAATATATATACATATATATCAAGAGTACATAATAGAGTCTCTATTATGTACTCTTGATATATGTATATATATGCATGCGAAGAAATTGTTTTTCACACAACAACAGATTCCACTACAAGTAAAAAACATGTAGGCCTAATTAGAAAAGCAGAAATACATTTCGAGACTCGGCGGGGTACTTTATATATATATATTGCTATATATATATATATATATATATATATATATATATATATATATATATATAGCAATATATATATATATACTATATATATATATATTTATTTATTTATTTATTTAACGTTTGAACCTGTTAATTTTAGGCAGGCAGTTGGTTTCTCGTCCTTCTCCTTCTTGTAACAGTACAACGTGTCAGCGTAAAGCACACTGAAGCGCTTACTCCACGAGTTACTCTGGCCTTTGTAATAGATCTGACCGAAAAGTTGTGCGTCAGCTAGCATTCTCTTGGCGCTGAGTCGTTTGGAATGCTTTTCCTTTCTAGAACACGAGGAAAAGTGTTAAGTCATTACTCGCTCACGGCGAATCAACATGAGCGAAAGAGCCCACTGTCGCCAAGAGACTATTGTTGCTTATATCTGAACATCTATAGTCGTCAGGTCCCGTTGAAAGATGAATAATATATAATAAAGAGTACATCCACCAACGCTGGTGTAAGGGTTTGGATACGGCCAAGGTGGCAACGGCTTAGGATAAAATGCAAGACAGTTTAGTTATATCACTGATCACTGTTTTGAGAACGTTCGCCAACATTAGGGTCGGTATCAACAACATATACACTAATAAAGACTTGTCTTGCTTTGTGGGCAGCTGAACGTCGGGACTTTCGTTGTCGCTGACGTCATCTCTTCTTCTCGCGTCCTCATCAGTGTCCTTGACAGTCGATTCGAAGTCACTACTGCTGCTACTACCACCACTGCGCACACTCGGCTGAAATTACATGAGCATTAATAAATGGCTAAAACACAAGATCTAATCAGATCATTTCATCACTGAACTTATCATCATAGACGTCATGTATATCGTATGTCATTGATATCATCGTACGACGACGACGACAGTGTATCTCACTTGAGGGCGCTAGCGCACTAGTCGCTTCCAATGACGCCGACGGCATGCGCTGACTTCCTACTAGAAACCTATGGTTAGCGATGATATCATTATCGTTTATTCTCATAATACCTATATACGGCTAAGCACTTCAGCTATTCCTGGTTTAATACCTTCAATGTTTCTATAGGTTGCTCGTAGATGGCGTCTTCTACGGACGTTATATCAGTTCCAGATCTAGAAAAGGACAACCTTTGTTAGATAATCAGTATTCAACAGATGAATAATTTGATATTTTATGAAAGCATAGTCGTCATGTCAAGATTATATAGGGCTAACATATTACTAGTGTATAATGATCAGATACATACACTACATTATGCGTATATTATTTTTTCATTTACGGATAAGAAAACATCTTGAAATAACGCCCTCCTCCACAAGGGAAACTCACTGTATGTCAGTGCGCACATCCTCGTAAATGTTTTCTTCGGCTTCAGGCGAGCTTGGCGCGCGTTCATCGGGCGTCAGCACATCCATGTAGAGGCCACCGTAGTGACCGTTACTGGGCACCGGCGGCGGATAACACAGTGGCGGTGGTCCACACTCGCTGTCCGGCCTGTCCGGCACGGACGCGACGCCGTAGATGTAGATCTCCTCCTGCTGTGCCGCACCCTCGCTGACGTCGGCCGCCGGCAGCGACATCGCCGGCCTCGGATACTGCTTCGCCGGACCCTCGTGCTCGACGTTAACGGTGAGCTCTCGTGGGATCACGAACGCCGTGTCACGTAATCGATGATCGTAACTCACCTCGTCGGTGAGCAGGACGACGGCTGGCATCGTGTCTCCGTCGGAAATCAGTGCGATTGAAGCGCCACCGTGCGGTTCGGCCACTTCATATGGTGACTCGTAATCGGCAGGGTTCTTAGTGCTCATAGTTATAACGCTGTATATGAAAGGGAAGTAGAATGTGCTAGTAGTACAATGTGCCCAGACATTCGCCGTATATCGTACAATAATTATCGGCACAAACTGTGCACTCAAATCATAGAGACACGTTTGTCAGCAGCTTCTTTCAAATGAAGTCTATCGATAAGATTATAATTACATTACGTCAATTTTAAAATACGAAAAAGCGGTCGAAGAGGGTTTATCTTTCCCTGCTAAACTCCGGGATGTACGGCGTGTAACACATATTACAATAGCATGTCTCCTTCATTGCCTTGGCAGCTATTTACGTCGGTATAACAACTCTTGATAAACATCCTAATATTACAGGCTCTAGAGCGCGCGAGAACCTGGTAGTAGATAGGAAAATATCCATATAACAACCCACGAGTAAAAAGACTAGAGGCATAGCGAGAAATAGGCGTAATTGACTATTTTCTCGTGCTTATATTGAACATTAGAAAATAATGAAAACGTAAGTCGACGTACTCATCTATTTTCTTATCGTCCTTGTCGTACCATATGCTGTCATTTTTCTTGTCACTGTTCTTTCTTTCGGCGACACTTGAATCACCCCTATATATATATATATATATATATATATATATATATATAG